AAGTCTTTATTTAATAAAATGATATAATATAAATTTGCTGTACTTTGCTGTAACAAAATATCAAATGTTATATTTAACAGTTGCCATCTTGACGACAGTTTTGACATTTGGTGTGGACGATTTCGTTTCTAAATAATAAACACGAATAAAATGAATAAAATAATATTAAAGTATTAATAAAATATTAAAAACTCTGTATTTATTAAATATATCAATATAGTTTTTATGTGAGTAGTGAAAATAGGAGAACTAAATTATTGAGTGAAATATGATAAAATCTTAATCAACATCACATCAATGAATCACATTAGATTGCAAATAAATTAATAAATACCTATAGTAGTAAATAATTTGCATTTAAATTATGTTATAAAATGGGCATAGAAAGTTCTCACATGAATGGCCTACAGTTAGAAGAAAAAGCCATCGAAACAACAGACTACTGGACTCTATATTCTGCTTCCAATGGCGAAACAAAACTATCAATTTTCAAAAGCAAAACAGGCATACACGGTCAATCATGGACACTGGAAAAGATGACAAAGAACCTGATGCTGCACCGGCATCCATTCATCCTGAAGTACGTATCATCCTGGAACAAAGGTACAGATTTTTATTTAGCAGTTGAAAGTGCCAAGCCTCTCCATTTATACCAGAATCAGTTATCGAGTATACAGATATCTCTGGGGTTGAGGAATGTTATAGGTGCTCTAGTGTTTTTGCACGAGCAGGCACATGCTTTTCATAATAATATATGTATATCCAGTATTTATGTAACGCAGAATGGTACGTGGAAGTTGGGTGGTTTGGAGTTTTTGATGGCAAAATCAAAAATGACTGCAGAGTTTTTGTCTAAGTCTAAGGGGTATAGATACACGAAATCTATTGATCCTGATGAAGAGAAGAATAATGGGAGCGGTTGTGATCAGTATGCGTTTGCAAACTTGGTTTTGGATTTGCAGAAACATTTAAAACATGATGATGTAGCTGGTTTTGATGAGTTTAGTAAATATTGTTCGGCGCATTTGAAACATCAGAATTTTGTGATGAGACCACAATTTTCATCTTTACTTCTGCACCCTTTTTTTAACCATGATATAATTATGTTGCATTCGTTTTTAAGTGACTTGCCTATTAAATCTAACAAAGAAAAAACAGAGTTTTTTAAAAAGTTGCACGGGGTTTTGATGTCTTTGGATGAACAAGAAACAGCAACACATCTGGGTGAGCTTTTGATATCAAGAATGGTGCTTTTAGATTTAACTGCACAAGAATTCTTGTTACCATATTTGTTTAATCCAAAAACAAAAACAAATCCTGATGGTTTATTCACAGAACCAGTATTTAAATCTATTATAGCACCCAAATTGTTAAACGTATTTAGGGTTAGAGACTTGCAGATCCGTATGATACTTTTGCACCACTTTCCAAGTTTTATAAAACTATTCAAAAAAACAGATTTACAAGAACATATTTTACCAGAGCTTTTACTCGGCATAAAAGATAGTAATGATGAGTTAGTTGCTTTAACACTGCGCTCTTTAGCTGAACTGGTGCCTTTATTAGGCTCTTCTGCTGTTATAGGAGGTAAACGAGAAAAATTATTCTCCAATGGCAAACCAAAAGATTTAGCACCGATAGAAAAATCTTCAAACCTAACCTTACTGACAAATACTGAACGCCCATCACCCGATGGTGAAGAAGACCATTGTGTCAACAATTCAGTATCCAAAGACACCGAAGACTGGAAAGACTGGGACAACGATCTCAAAATATCAGAACCCACTCCTATTATCGAACAAAAACCAATAGTTATTAATGATATATTAAATTTAGATATAAAAGTCAATAAATCAAAGCCTGTTGAACAAGATAATGAATTAGATTTGTTCCATGATATGGAACCAGTTATTCAAGCATCGAATGTGTTTTTAGTTGATGAAGTTGCAAAAACTAATTTAGAACTGAATAGTTTTGCTTCAACTAAATTTGAGGTGTCCAATACGTTGGTGGACGACGGCTGGGACGACACAAGTAATTGGAGCGAATAATAATAATATATATATATATAATATGTTATATTATTTATATGTGTATGTATGTATGTAATCACAGACATTTTATTAATACACACAGATATAATTACTTACAATGCGTTATTAGTTCAAACTAGGTGTAAGTAATCATAAAAAATTAAAAATGAAAATTTTTGGAAATCTTTACGTTTCAGGAGGTTTCTAAACATTTTGGCATACTTTAGAAAAAATTGATGTGCGTGTGTGTGTGTGTTTTTTTTTGCATTTATGCATCCCAGACTAGGTCTTTTGTCTGAGTATGTCGGACTCAATACCGCCTGTGTATAATACCGACTAAAACCTCTGCTTTGCCCTTGCCTCTGGTCCCCACGGCGACCGCCGTTCGGCATTACTTCGTGGGGGGAGGATCTAGAATGTTATCATTCTTACATTGATTTTATACTCATCTTTAAAATGAGTGAAGTCCCATTCGTTCTTTCTCTTTCGTTTAAAAGTTGGATGTTTGTGTGCGTGTGTATGTATGTGCAGATACCAATTTTGTCGACGATTTTGAGAGCACGGATCAACCGATTTGGCTAATTCAATTCAAATTCGATTCTTATTGAAAATGATATGCATATTCAATTATCAGACATTATATAAAGATTTTAAAAAGAGTACAAATTTTAATTTACACTAGTAGACTGCGAAGCAGCGCTTACGCGCTTCTATATTTTAACTCTAAAATAGCTCGCAAACGCAGCTCGATTGCTGTGAAAAAAAAGTTAAAAATTTTCAAAATATGGAAAAATTTCAAATTTCTGAGTCATTTTTGGCAAAATTTTCTAAAATCTGATATTCCAAAGTTCTTAAAAGAAATTTAAGCTTTTTTTTAAATTTCAATTTTCGGTACAGAAAGTTCCAGCAATTTGCCTGAGGGCACTATGCACAACTAGTTAGTTCAAACTAGGTGTAAGTGGCATTTACCCTACAAGTGGATTAGTGTAAGTTCTAGTAATTGTCCAAAAATCAAAAATGATGATTTTTGTATATCCTTACGTTTCAGAGGTTTCTGAACATTTTGGCATACCTGTATGTGTATGTGTGTGTATGTGCGGATACAATTTTTGTCGACGTTTCTGGGAGCACGGATTAACCGATTTGAATGATTCAAAAAGCATTCGATTTCTGTTGATAGGGAGACGTACTGATTAGTTTTTGGCAAAGGCATGTTCAGCCGTTTCGGAGATAAAAAGCAAAGAGTGCAGAAAATAGAAATCGAGTTTTTGAGAGAACGGAGAATCCGATTAGAATGATCAAAAAGCATTCTGTTCGTGTTGATGGGAAGACAAGCATTTAAGTCTTTAGAAAAAGCAGGTTCTGCCGTTTCAGAGATTCAGAGCAAAAAGTGCAAAAATTAGCGGTTTTTGAGAGATTAAAATGATTCAAAATGCATTCTGTTCGTATTGATGGAGAGACGTGCTGATTAGTTTTTTTGAATAGGCAGATCCTACCGTTTTGGAGATGCAGAGCAAAAAGTATTAAAGTCAGCAATTTTTTAGAGAATGGTTTATCCGATTAGAATGATTCAAAAAACATTTTGCTTGTGTGAAGGCAAAAAATTATTTCTTAATTTCAAAAAAAAAAATATATGACAATAATATGTCAATAAAAAAATGTCAAAAAACAGATCTTGAAAAATAAAAAGAAAATCGAAAATATTTGGATTTTAATTTTAGTCGTAGATAAAATTCTAATACTAACTTATATACTTCAAATAAATAATTTTAACTTTGCAATTCAGTATATATAATTCTTATAAATATGAGATAAGGTCCTTCATCACTAACTCCGCTTTATCAAGTTTTGTTTACTTTCTTTCCATGCAAACATATACGTGGTCTGTTCAAAAAGTACCCGGAATTTTCGTATATAAATATAAAATATTTATTTATTCGTCTACATTAATGTGGTCCCCTTCAAAGTAGTCCCCCCCAGATATAATACACTTATGCCAGCGTTTTTTCCAATTTTCGAAGCACCCTTGATATTCACTTTTTGATATGTCCTTGAGCACTCTCGGCGATTTTCTTCAATCGAGGAAAACCGCCGTCCTTTCATGGGTCTCTTCAACTTTGGGAATAGGAAAAAGTCACACGGAGCCATATCTGGTGAATTTTTGCACTTTGCAACACTTTATTTCATTTTTTACGCAAAATTTAATACAAATTCTTTGACTTTTCAATTCTTCCATTGTAAAAATCGCCGAGCTCAGAAAAACACGTCGAACCTTAGCGACTACCACAGACAAAGTAAACAGTGAATATAGCTGAAAATTTCATCATACTTTAGGGGCATGTATACCAACACAATAAAAAAAAAAATTTGACAATCAGACACTCCAGACCCGCGAAATTTAATTATTAGTAATTCCGGGTACTTTTTGAACAGACACGTATAGGGTCCGCCAACTAGCTTTTTTTGAAAAATTCCTTAAAAAATCTACTGGATATTTTGCCAATCTTCTTTTTGTTTGAAAATTCTATTAAAAACCACTAAGTATTTTCACTTTTTTTATTTGAAAGTGAAATGTAAAGAGTGAAGAGTACACAGTAGGGTTGCTTAAGTCGTACCCCCTAAAAAAAAGTTATTAGGCGGACCCTATATGAACGTCGTCGTGCAATTTATACGTTCTTATATTTCGTCTATAAAATACGAATAATGAAAGTTACAATATTTATAATAATCTATTTGAAAACATTGAATATTCCTCGAACATTTCGTTACGGTACGGGAAGTTCCAGCAATTTGCCTTAAGGCACGATGCCATGAATAGACTAATTTCACGTGACATTTAATTTTGACAAAAGAATATTGACATTTGCCAAAATTTAGCATCAAAATTTTAAGTATCAATTATTAATCATTAACAATGTCTTGAGTGCTCTATCAACAGTTTTTGTTAATTTTTTATAATTTTCTACAATGAATGAGCTTTTCGAGCTGCAATTCCAGAGGTTGCCAAGAACAGTGGTGCCTATTCATTACAACATTCAGTTGCAACCATGTCTGGACAAAACCACGTTTCATTTCGAGGGAAAGGAATCGATAGAGATTGCTGTAAGATTAATAAGTGGCAATTCTGCCGTAACATAAACGATAAGATTTTTTTTTATTTAATTTATTCTGCAACATGTTTTTCATATTCATTAACATTAAGCAGAGATTGCTAACAATAATTATCATATAATATAAACAAGAAAATAGTAGCAACACCCAGCGGCGTGTCTACTAGATATATATAACACATGTTAATAATAAAAAATAATAATAAAATAAAAAGAAAAGAAAGACGAAAAAATAAACGATAAGATAGCGTTTTCATGGTAACGCTCTCCTGTGCTTGTTCTTGGTATTGAAAATTATGAAATTGTCTTTCTATTTGCCGTGCGATCAGGCGTATTTTATATATAAACAAGCAAGGGAGAATGTTATATAAGATTCTTCCTTGCTTGTTAGCTTCCCGTAGGGTAAGTTATTGTAATCGTCCAAAAATCGAAAATGAAAATTTTTGCATTTCTCGACGTTTTGAAGGTTTCTGAACATTTTGGCATACCTCAGAAAAAATGGATGTGTGTGTGTGTGTGTTTTGTATGGTTTGCGTTTTTTCCTCCACGTTTTCGGGCGCACGAATCAACCGATTTGAATGGTTTAAAAAACATTCGATACCTATTGATAGGGAGATGTGCTGATTAGTTTTTGGCAAAGACAGGTCCAGCCGTCACGGAGATAGGGAGCAAAGAGTGCAGAAAATATAAATCGAGTTGTTGGGAGAACGGAGTATCGGATTTGAATGATCTAATAAACATTCAATTTGTAATGATTGGGAGAAGAGGTGATTGGTTTTTGGCAAAGACAGGTCGCGCCATTTGACCGATCTAAAGAACTTTCTACTTGTATTGACCAAACAATTGCTTTTGAGGATAAAAAATGATTACATCTTTTTTTATTTTTCATAAAATATTTTTGTAATTTTGGATTAAAAATTCAAAAAATTACCCAGGCTAAGCACAGTCTGAGCGCCACCCTGGTACAAATGTTTACCCAAGTGCGTTTAGACTGTTTATGTACTGGAGCATTTTTCCAATTTTGTGAAAACTATTAAAAAATGTGAAAATGCCGCCAAGCTAAGCACAGTATAAGTGAAAATGTCGCACAGAATTATTTGCAAATGCAAATTAAACTGTGACTATACGGGAGCACTTTTTCAATTTTGTGCAAATTAAGCAACTATTTTTTTAGAATGAAATTGAATTCGAAATGAAATGACGATAGTTAATGTTCTGGAGATAAATTAATTTTTAATGATTTACATTCGATTTGCTCAAATATAACAATAAGATAGCAAAAATAATGAAAGTTACAGAATTTGTAATAATATATTTAAAAACGTTTAAAAATTCTCGAATATTTCATTACGGTACGGGAAGTTTCAGCAATTTGCCTTAAGGCCTGATGCCATACACCACTAGTTTCTAGATTCTTTTTAGACCCTTACTAGATTCTTCTCAGAAGATTCATATTAGATACGTATAAGACTTTTAGAAGATTCTTCTTACGTTTAAAGTTCTTATAAGATCTATACTAGATTTTATATTAGATATTCCTTACGAGATTCTTAAACGATCCTCATTATCCTTTCAGATATTTTGTAGATTCATCTGTCTACTCATTTGAGATCCTTGGATGCTTCATGCAAAATTGAGATTATTTTTGGATTCTTGCAAGATTCCTATTGGATTCTTTTTACATTCTTGGTGTAATCATATTAGATTTTAATTCTAACAATATTTAGATAACTCTAACTAACTAAATAATTCTAACAATTTTTAGATAATTTGTAATAATATATTTGAAAACGTTTAAATCTTCTCGAATATTTCCTTACGATACGGAAAGTTCCAGCAATCTGCCTTAAGGCACGATGCCATACACCACTAGTTTATATGTAAAATACGCCTGATCGCACAGCAAATAGATAGACGGTTTCATAATTTTTACTACCAATAAACAAGTATAACATATCGTTGCCATGACAACGATATTTTATGACCTCCGTTACGGCAGAATTGCTCCATCAATTTCTGCAAGGAATGCCGAATTGCACTAATTCTTGTCCTTGTAGATTTTGGATTCGGTGCAAAGAATAGTCCTGAATTCGGTTCAACTGCATATCAAGAGTGTTGTTCTGCACAGGGAAGACGAAGAGGATATCGAGCCTGAAATAACTTATAATGATTATGATGAAATTATAACGTTGGACTTTAAAAAGAAGTTGCCCATTGGCAGAGGTGCTTTGTTATTTGATTACAGTGGGTTGCTTAATGAGAAACCGAAAGGTAAGGGAAATCGATTAAGGCGATTTGTATCTGATATTTACTTCAATTGGGATTTTTCTTTTAGGTTTTTTCAGAAGCACCTACACAAATTTCGAAGGCAAGACAGCCTATGCAGCCTTAACCCATTTCGAGACGAGTGATGCCCGAAGATGTTTTCCTTGCTGGGACGAGCCCTCGTTCAAAGCCACTTTCACGATCATTCTTTTGGTTCCACAGGTAAATATACAATTATTAGTGTTAACTTCCCGTAGGATATTGTTATTGTAATCGTCCAAAATTCGAAATTAAAATTTTTTACATTTCTCGACGTTTTGAAGGTTTCTGAACATTTTATTGGCATACCTCAGAAACGAAATCTAAAAAACATTCAATTTGTAATGATTGGGAGAAGAGATGTTAGTTTTTGACAAAGACAGGTCCCGTCATTTCGAAGATACAGAGCTAAATGTGCAAAAAATGACAGTTTTTGAGAGAACTTAGCGTACAATTTAAATGATCTAAAAAACTTTATGCTTGTATTGACAAAACAATTTCTTTCGATGATAAAACATTATTACTACTTTTTTATTTTCCATAAAATATTTTTGTAATTTTGAAATAAAAATTCAAAAAATGACCCAGGCTAAGCACAGTCTAAGCGCCACTCTGGTACAAATGTTTAACCAAGTGCGTTTAGACAGTTTATGTTCCGGAGGACTTTTCTAATTTTGTGAAAACTATTGAAAAATGTGAAAATGCCGCCAAGCTAAGCACAGTATAAGTGAAAATGTCGCACAGAATTATTTGCAAATGCGCTTAGACTGTGACTACACGGGAGCATTTTTTCAATTCAATTTTGTGTAAATTAGGCAAGTATTTTTTTTTTAAATTGAATTCGAAATGAAATGAAATGACGATTGTTAATGTTCTGAAGATAAATTGATTTATGATTTACATTTGATTTGCTCATATATAACAATAAGATAGCAAAAATAATGAAAGTTACAGTATTTGTAATATAATATATTTGAAAACGTTTAAAATTTCTCGAATGTTTCATTACGGCACGGGAAGTTCCAGCAATTTGTCGTAAGGTATGATGCCATACCTCATTAGCTTTTCTTTTGTATTGCGAAGGAAATGCATTTATGCATCCCAGACTAGGTCTTTTGTCTGAATACGTCGGACTCAATACCGCCCATGTTTAATACCGACTAAAACCTCCGCTTTGCCCCTGCCTCTGGTCCGCACGGAAATTGCCGTTAGGCATTACTTCGTCGGGGGAGGATCTAGAATGTTATAATTCTTGCACTGATTTTATACTCATCTTTTAAAATCAGTGTAAGAATGATAACATTCAAGTATGCATCTGTATAACGTGCGTGTGTGTATGTATTTTTTTCTCTTGTATAGCGAAAGAAATGCTTTCATGCATCCCAGACTAGGTCTTTTGTCTGGGTATGTCTGATTCAATACTTCTTGGGTATAATACCGACTAAAACCTACTCATTTTTTAAATGAGGGAAGTCCAATTTGCTCTTTCTCTTTCCATGTATGGCAGATCTACAATCTATGTGTGTGTGTGTCTTTTTTGTCATTTTTGTCATTTTTGACCTTTGCTCAACTGCCGAATAAACGTTCCTAGACATAGAATATAAAAGGAACTCTACTGACGATCAAACTGAAACGATAGACAGAGTGAGAAGTGACTCTACTGATGAGCAAATTGCATTTCAAAAATAAAATAGAGAAGGAACCTTACTGTCGAGCAAAATGTATTTAAGAGATAAATAGTCAGAGTAAGAAAAGGGACTCTACCGTCGAGCAAATTGCATTTCAGAAACAAAATAAAAAAGGGACTCTACTGACGAGCAAACTGAAACGATAGACAGATCAAGAAGGGACTCTACTATCGAGCAAATTATATTTCTGAAATAAAAGAGAAAAGTGACTCTACTAACGAGCAAACATTAGACAGAGTAAGAAGGGACTCTACCAGCGAGCAAATTGCATTTCAAAAATAAAATAGAGAAGGGACTCTACTGACAAGCAAAATGTATTTCAGAGATAAAATAGAGAAAGGACTCTACTGACGAACAAACTGCAGTAATAGTCAGAGCAAAAAAAAGAACCCTACCTTCGAGCAAATTGCATTTTAGAAATAAAATAAAAAAATGGACTCTTCTGACAAGCAAAATGTATTTCAGAAATAAAATAGAGAAGGGACTCTACTGACGAGCAAATTGCATTTCAGAAATAAAAGAGAAAAGGGACTCTACCGACGAGCAAATTGAATTTCAGAAAAGATTTTTTTTGACGATTTCGATGAAACTTAGATTTCGTAGTCTGAAAAAACATACTAGAATATTATAGGCCTACGATAAGCGGTTGAATTATAAAAATTTATCAAAACTAAAAATTTCGCCGGGCACTTAAAGAATTCTAATTAGAATCTATGCCGAGTATATTAAATAAAACACATTTTTAGAACACGAAACGGCTAAAATAAATTAATTGTGTTAAATAATTTAATTCAATTATACAATTACAGATATTATATAAGTTTGTAACACGCCAATCGTAAATTGCAATGATTTATTTTTAGTGAAAGCAAAAATTCTATTTTCGAAATAAACAGTTAAATTTTATCTAAATAGATAAATCTCTGAATTCTTTTTGATTCATTTGATTATTTACAAGTATCCGCAAGTTCATGCAATTTGCCATAAGGCAAAACACCACTTACAACTAAACTACCAATTAAAGTGTGTATGTGAGCCGATTTTTTACATTTTATGAACGTTTTCTCAAAAACGGCTGCACCGATTTAAAAAATTCAGAAGTCATTCGATGTTACTCGATAGGGACTAGCGTTTATCAGTTTTGTGCGATGATCGGCCAAGCCGCTTCTTTGTAATTAGCAGAAAAGTGTTAAACTCGTCCACGTTTTAGCCCGCAATTTTGAAAAAACAATTCAAAAACTGTTCTAAAGTTATTGGTTGGGAATCATGATGATTAGTTTTAATAACGGGAAGTTCATACAACTTGCCCTAAGGCAAAATACGACTTGCCTTAAGGCAAAATACCACTTACACCTAATTTATATTACTTTCAGGGCTACACAGGGATATCGAACATGACCGTCAAATTTGGTGTCAAACAAGGAGACTTCAGGTGCATCGAGTTCGATCCAACTCCTCCTATGTCGACATACATGCTGGCAGTAGTCATAGGTAAAATTTAATATTTTATTCGTAAATAATTATTTTGTTCTTATTTAATTTATATTCAGGTGAGTACGACTACGTGCAACTTTTGAGCAGTGACGGAGTACGTGTCAGGGTCTACACACCTCTTGGTAAAAAAGATTTTGGCAGATTTGCAGTCGGAGTCACTTCTAAAGTCTTACCGTACTACAAGGAATTTTTCGACATGAAATATCCACTACCAAAGGTAATAGACTGAAATAGTATCAAAAACTCATCATATATCAAGTGATACATTTTATTTTTTTTATTTCTAGCTTGATCTGGTAGCCGTCCCCGAATTCCCAGCAGGAGCAAGCGAATGCTGGGGCCTGCTGGCTTTCAGAGACTCCGCCCTCCTCCTGGACGAGGTCAACGCGAGCGATACGACAAAACAGTGGTGCTGTCTATTGTTGGCACACGTAGCTGCCACCCAATGGTTCGGAGGAATGGTGACACCGAGCTGGTGGACCGAATCCTGGATGTACGAAGGATTCGCGCAGTATGCAGAGTTTTTGTGCATTCAACAAGTAAATAGAAATACTGATATCTACATATATATTAGGTTGTCAAATATCTCCCTTCCGCTTTTTTGCTCTTGGTTTATAATACAAAAAGGCGGAAGGGAGATATTTGACAATCTAATATAAAAATAAGTCGGGTTTTCCTTCCTGACGATATAACTCCAGAACGCATGAACCGATTTCGACAATTTTGCATTCGTTGGAAAGGTCTCGGGCTCTGCAAGGTTTATAGCTAAGTTAGTGGTGTACGGCATCGTGCCCTAATGCAAATTGCTGGAACTTCACGCACCGTAATTAAAAATTCGAGTAATGACATTTGTGAGAATTATCAGAATTATACTTGGTTAAGTCAACGAGCAATTCTTGCCGCAAAGAATAATGATGTACACGCACTGAATTTCACCATTTAATCAAAAATTGCTGGCGATTTGGTGACATACCAATGATTCCGACTGGTCTTCCGTTTGACTTCAAACGATTGCAATTTACAGTTCGCCTTGCGTTCGCAATAATAAGTCGCAAGGATAATCGCTTAGTGTTTGCGGGATAAATTTCAAATAGATTATTTAGAAAATCATTGTTTTTCACATGGGCAGTTATACGTAGCCTGTTCACGAGTTGGAAAACCATCCGCTTTGTTTGTGTTAACGTCAGACCAAAAAACAAAAAATGTGGTTTACCAAAGATCACTTCCATGAAACGGATAATTTGCGGATTCACTTTCATTTACTTAGAGAAGTTCAATTAACAAACACTTCAATTTTGTAATCGAAATAAATTCATTACTGTTGTGTAATAAAATCAAATCTTTCCTTTTCAAATATAAAACAAACAAAAAACTTCTTCATCTTTCTCACGAAATCATCTGGTGGCGAAACGGAGTTAGTCGGGTTTGATAGTATATATATATATATATATATATATATATATATATATATATATACGAGTATACATTTATATATATATATATATATATATATATATATATATACGTGTATATATAAATGGAGCTTGATAAAATGATCCGCTAAACCTCGAAAACGGCTGAACCGATTCGGCCAGTCTTAGTTTAGAAAAATTCGTGCTAATCAGTAGATTGTCGGAAAGGTGGAATATTATTTCAAAATCGCATAGAAACTTTACATTTTTAATTTCAACATTTTTGTAGAAGCGTTTTTCAATAAAACAATGGACGGTGGCTAATACGTCAAATGTCAAACGTTTTTGACAGATGATATTCAATTACGTTTAATAGGATGTTTTACGTGAATATTTTTTAATTGTAATTGAATTATAGTAAATAGTTTTGTTTATAGTTTTATTTTTTTACAAATAATAAAGTTGATAGGCACCTTTTATATTTTTCAAAGTATTTATCTAATTCGATGTCCATAAACTTATTGATTTCATCTTCGTCTTCTAATAGCGTTGTTATATTAATAATGGTGTTTTCGAATATTTCAAATAATGGCCTTACATCTTCGATATGGCTGTTTATATCTAAAATATCTAACTCAGAAGTAGGTGTTTCTGACATTTGTTTATAAATTTTCTCATATCTCGTTAGTCGCGATTTCATTCCTTGTTGCTTAAGTTTGAGTGATTTTAACGACCTGATTTCTGCTTCTTTTGCTTCCGAATTGATGTATTCTATTTCTTCGACTGCTGGACGTCAAATCCGGCTCGAAGGACCAATGTTTTCTCACTGATTATTTTAATTGAATTTTACTTTACTTTTTGAAGGACCAATTGTATAATACTTTATTGATAATTGCATATATTTATTTTATAAGTTATAATAGTATTTACAATAATTTTAATATGTTTTTGATTACGTATTGATTGATTTGATTTTGGTTTGACTATCGATTGATGATTTTTTGTTTATATATCAATATAACCACATCCTTTGATATGGCGCGAACACATTTAAATAACACATCCTTATACACTTAAAGTATTAATATTTTTAATTCTCTAGAAATCGTTTAGAAAATACCTTACTTAGCAAAACAACATTAGCCAGGTCAGCTAGTATAGTATTAACATTTGTTTAAATGTGTAATGGTTTCCAGTTGTATCCAGAGTTTGCAGTGTCCAGTCAGTTTCTGCAGGATACTGCCTGGCGTGCCTTGGATGCAGATTCTTTGAGAATTGCAAAGCCTTTGCTGAATCATCCTTCGGATCCTATCGAATCTGTTCTGGACGATTCGTCAACTGATAACGAATTGAGGAGTGATAAGGCTGCCACTTTAATGAGGACACTGCACTCTTACGTAGGTTAGATTGATTAGCATTTTAGTAACAAATATCTTATATATATATAATTCTTCTGTAATGATGTATGAAAGTGTACTTCTTCTAAACGATTATTCGGATTCTGATAAATCTTTCTGAAGTTTTTAAAGGATTTTTTTAGGATTTTTTGAATTATAAAAATATAGTTAGATTATAGCAATAAGTGGAAAAAATTACAAAAATCGCTTATCATTGTTTGACATTGAAAATATTTGAGACATTGTTTGGCATTGAAAAAAAATAATGACTGTCCTTTCCAAAAATTTCAATTTACTTATGAGCCTAGACAATATTATAATATGTTCAATAATAAATTCATAATTATGAATAAGAAAAATGTAATGTCTACATTATTATTGCCAAAAAGCAGCTTAGATGTGCCAAAAATTAAAATAATATCAAATACAGTATATATTTGGCAGATGCGTCTGACGGTTGTGGACTGTCAATAAATATACCCTATATAAATAAATTAGACAGATTATTATTTTTCAACCAATGCAGTCGTGTTTTGCCTTACAAAAAAATTACTCATTCAAAAAACTATTTAGAAATTCCATTGTGTCAAAAATCCATATGTTTGCCATTGGATACGAAATATTTACTCAAGTCGGGAGGGTTTTGGGTTTGAATTTTTTTACTGTGCTCCAATTTTTATGAAATTTTGGAATTAGGTTCATCCTACTCTCAAGTTCAAAAGTGAAAATAGTTTAGACTCCTTTGCCACATCCCGGGGGGATGATATCCCTTCTCAGTAGTGTAATTTTATGTTTTCAAAATAACGTCGGATATCGATAAAAGTACTAATAAATATAAAATATAAAAGTAACTAATTATAAGAGAAAAATGTTTCATAATGTTTTTTTAAGTTACTGGCTACTGAAGATTCGTTTTTTTTGGCGTTTTTCGTCGTTTTTTTGCAAATATCTTCAGAAATATACATTTTAACGGCAATCATGTCGAACAAAATTATATCAATTAAAATCTTAATAAATCGGTGTCTTATAATGTGTTTTAGGAACAACATTCATGGAAATAAAAAAGCAAAACCGTTTTATTATTTCGTTCGAAATTTAGTTGTATTAGAAGCCATCTAGCAGCGAGGTGTTATTTTTTATATATTCCATAGGGTTTTATAGTGCTCAAAATAAGTTATAAAATGAGTACTGTTTTGTTTCATTTAAATCAAATAGTTTTATAAGTGCCATTTTCCTCAAAATTACAATTAATCGTATTTCATCTAGAATTAACTTGGGTTAAGAGATTCCAAAATATCACGCAAATTGGAGCACAGTAAAAAAGTTTACAGATTACACCGTTTTTTCCCTGCATTTACTGTACCAATTTCGTTGATCGTAGATAGAATAGAGCACATATGAACAGGATTTGATAAATTAATTTATTTAAATTATGAACTTAAGTAATAATGTATATCGATTTATTATTAAGAAAAATATAATTTAGATATTATTATTACTGAGAACAATTAATATATAGTACGAGATTATAAAAATTATGGGAAACATTATTGAAGCAATTATTTTGAGTGAAAAAATCGAAGGTGATATTGTACTTTTACCGCGGGGGGGACAACCCTTGATAAAAATAAATAGTTTTTTGAAGTAAATAGTATTGCACGCATTTTGTCAATTCCGCATTAAAAAAATTAAAATAAAGAAAATTAAATCCAAAATTAAAAAAGGGTTAAAGTAGGACAACCCTTGATAAAAATTAATTGTATATTATATTAAGATTCAAGCTTTTTTTTACAGCAAAAATCTAGACAAAAATTATGTAAAAATTACTGAACGGGGGATAAAAAATGATTGAATTACTAAAATGGCTATAAAAACAGGGGTTGGTTATGATAAAGTAAAA